ATGGATGGGGTTTAAGAACAATTCTAGTTGGCCATTGAGAGCACCAAAATGCAATTCAAGAACATCCTCTCAGACTCTGAACCTAAAGCATTTCACTTTGAGTGAGAATTTAATACATTTCATTGATCCTGAATCAGGGCTGTGGCGAGACTGCTAACCATAGTGACAGCCTCCTTTATGGAAATCACCTCTGCCCTGTTTATGACCTGGTGCTTGATATTTGGGAGAGAGAAATAAGTTTATTTTCCTACACTGTTTTCTCATCAACCTAATTTCCCCCACCTCTTCCTTCAAGCAGCATTCCCTCTCTTCTTGCCCATAGGTAGCAAAAACAGTTGGAGATTCTATTTTGTCTTAGTTCTGGCCAACTGTTCAACTGGTAACTAATAAAGTCTTTGCTAATCTATCACATTTGGGTTGGTTTCATCTTTTGCAGATGGGTGAGATAACTCAGCTCTCAGCCCTCACCCCACACACACACACATACACTCAACCAAGCTCTCATGCACTCGTGCTAAAGTCCACCAGGGCCTCTTAGGCAGCCAAGCCACACTGCTTCACTGGTATTGGCCCTGAGCCCCAGCAGATGGCCACTGCCTTCCCAAACCCAAGCTAATGACCAAGTTAAAGACCAAACCTTCACTGTCACATCATGTTACATAGTAGCATAGATAGCTGTCTGAGAATGGGAAATCTGACCAGCTAATGCTACTCTTTCATCCTAAAAAGAATGGCCTGGGAACACCATTTTTGCCTGAATTCATAAGAAGGCTGCAGTCCAAGAGGTGTAAGGATAGGAATTAAGTTAAACAGCATGTACCCATAGTGAGAGCAGAGGTAATAAGCAAAATAAATTAACCAAAAGAATAAAAGCCCTAGCCAGTTTGGCTAAATGGATAGAGTCGGCCTGTGGACTGAAGGGTCACAGGTTCAAGTAGGGTCCAGGGCATATGCTGGGGTTTCAGGCTCGATCCTCAGCAGGGGGCGTGCAGGAGGCAGCCAATCAGTGATTTTCTCTTGTAACTGATGTTTCTCCCTCTCTGAAATCAATCAATTAATATAAATGTATATATTTTTATTTTATTTTTATTTTTAAGTGGGAGGTTGTGGCCTGACAGAGTCCAGGTGGGGTTCATTTCGGGAAGTAAACTTGCAATACTTGAGCCCTCCAACTAAAGGGAAAACCTCACCTTCTGACCTTTCTGGTGCTTGGAGAGACTTCCAACTTCACAACTTTACAACTCTCCATTCCGAGGCAGAGAATTCCAGCAGAGGTTCCAGTTTACACAGGTCGGGAAAAGCTTTAAGACATTAACTAGAGCAACAACCAGTTCCACCCTGGCTACTTTGTGATCTCATTTGGCAACGTCAAACTTGAGAACAAAAGATTAGCAATCAGGGCTCAGGGGCTGTAATGGTCATGGTAATTAACTAGACACATGAAATGACCAACCCACTAGCCTATCTGCTTTAAAATATATATATAATTGATTTTTTTACAGAGAGGAAGAGAGAGGGATAGAGAGCCAGAAACATCAATGAGAGAGAATCATCGATCAGCTGCCTACTGCACACCCCCCACTGGGGATGTGCCCGCAACCAAGGTACAGGCCCTTGATTAGAATCGAACCTGGGATCCTTCAGTCCGCAGGCCGACGCTCTATCCACTGAGCCAAACCGGTTTCGACTAGCCTATCCGCTTTACAACACAATTACATTTGCTTTTGAAGACTGAATCTGTTGGTTTTTCAGGGTTTAGGGTTGTAGCTCTTTAACATGGAGTTTTCTCACCCTGGCTGGTACTGCTAGGTGGTTAGAGCACTGGCTTGCACACCAAAGGGTTGTGAGTTCAATTCCCGATCAAGGACACATACCTCGGCTGCAGGTTTATGCTCGGCCCTGATGAGGGTGTGTGAGGAAGGTAATCAATTGATGTCTCTCTCTCACATCAGTATTTCTCTCCTTCTTTCTTTTCCTCTCTCTTTGCTTTTTCTCTCTCCACTCCTTCCCTCAGTCCCTTCCACTTTCTCTAAAAATCAATGGGGGGAAAAATAGCATCCTTGGGTAAGGATTAACAAAACAAAAACAAAAAAAGAAAGAAAAAGAGGGAGCTTTCTCATCTGTCCACTGGCAAATCAATTATTTCTGATACTTTTTTGGACCTCCAATGAAAGGTTTGACAGAAGTTTATACTTTTAGTACCAACATTTCATTTTCAAGATATAGGAACCCTGTCCAGAGTACCCCAGATATTCAAGGTCACTCTGAGCACAGGAATCCTAATCAAAGTATTTAAGGCCAATTTACTATCCACCGGTGCAAAAGCAAGGATGCAACAATTTATACACTGCAAAAGGGGTACCCTTTTATATAACCCAAAAAAATGATGTCTCTATTTCGGCAAGAAGTCGCTTCTGTGTAAGTATAAAGAATGTTACTCACCAGCCAGTTTGGGGCTGTGTTCTGGGGAAGATGTATTACCGACCAGCTGGTATTGGCTGTTTTTGTTAGGATGGCTCCCATGTTTGCTACTGTATTAGCAAGGACTGCTTTACTAGATGGTTTTGTCTAATGGCTCCTTAGCAGCAATAGCAATAAAGACTCTCCTACATGCCTACAACTCCATCCAATACACAGCATCCAAGGAGGTCCAACCCCTGTCAGAGACGCAGACCTGACAGCGTAGCAGAGTAGGATCCAGAGTAAGTACTCCCATAATTACTGCACTGAGAAGGTCAAGGAGAAACTCACTCCCCAACACCAGGTAACCCAGGTTTCGATATCCCTACTCCCTATAATGAATGTACATTTCACTGGGAAGGAATTTAATTTCTTGTTGGTTGTAATACTGTTAGTTCCCAACTACCAGTCAACTGAAGATTCACAGGGGAAGGACGTTATCTGTAATCAGCCACCTGGTCCTGAAAGTGTAGTAAGTCAGGTGTGCGTGGACCCCAGTGATTACAGCTGGATTCTCCAAATACCGGCCCAAGCCTGGCACTGTGACTATCGTGATAACAGAAAGATGTGATCCCTTCCCACAAGTTTACATCTAACAAACGAGAAAGAACATAATTTTTAGCCTCATTCACTCCCATTCCCACAAACTCCTAGCTTCCTGTCAAATTATTCAGAGGCACCTCCTTTCCCTGCACCTGATATTTCAACATTTGGCCCATATGTCCTCTCGTCTGTGAAACTTAGTCAAACAGTCAACCATGGCCACACATGCCTCCATTGTGTACACTGCCTGGAAGCCATGTGCTCCCACTAACTAGCTATGACCTTGTCAACAGGCTAACATCTTTGACATCTCAGAAGGCATTCAAAATATATTTGTTGATAAACTAGTTAATGAGCAAAAATGAAAATTCCGGTCAAGGGCACATGCCCGGGTCGTGGGCTCAATCCCCAGTGAGGGAGTTACAGGAGGCAGCCGATCCATGATTCTCTTTCATCGTGGATGTTTCTCACTCCCCCCCACTTCCTTCCGCTCTGAAATCAATAAAAATATATTTTTAAAAAACCCACAAACATATTATTTTAAAAATAAATAAATAAGTCATGTTTAAATAGACTACACCAAAATTTAAAACTTGGTTAAAATTGTGAAAGATCTGAAAAGGAGATTCCTAGAAGATACACAAATGAAGACATTCTTGCTCACTAGTATCCATTCAAGTGTAAATTAGGTAAGAAATAACCCATTGATTTGGAAAGATGTAATGGTGTTGGAGAAGATACCTTGTTACAGGAAGGCTCTTTTCCCGCTAATGGGAATACAAAATAATTAAGCCTTTATGGACAATTTGGCAATATCGTCCAGCATTTCAAATTTGCACAGGCTCTGAGTCATCAATTCTAAAACTCTAATTCTGTAATTCTAAAGAAATACCACACATGTGCACAAAGATTTAAATAGTGCTAATTCTACACAGAATTATAATAACAAAAACACAGGGGGAAAAAATTCCCGGAAATCATCTGAATAACGTCCATTAATAGGATAATATTAAGTAAACGATAATTTGTCCTTAATATTGGAAAGTCGTAGGCGGTGCATACTTACAAAAATATGTGTAGGCCATGCTGGGAGCTTTAAAACAAAAATTCTGTAGCCCTGCCCAGTGTGGCTTGGTTGGTCGTCCTCCCAAGCACCCCAAGATTGCTGGCTCGTTCCCCAGTGGGGGGCGTGCAGGAGGCAGCCAATGGATGCTTCTCTCTCATTGACATTTCTATCCCCCACCCCACCCAGTCCCTTTCACTCTAAAATCAACCAAAACATATTAAAAAAAAAAATCCTAGCACAATGTATATATGGTTTAGACATCTTTACGTACAAATGATTAGACAAGTCTAGTTATGTGTGTGCAGTGGTGCAGGGCTTGGAACGAAAGCCAACACGGTCGCCGTGGTTAGTTCGGAGGGAGGGCAGCGATCACGGCCACCCTTTATGTCAGCACCTACAGCCCCAGGCCCTCCGAGAGGCGGCCGGCACCTCCGTCCCCGGCGGCGCGAGGCCCGGGGGGCCGGCTCTCAGCTCGGCCCGCCGCCGGGTACCGTGGGGCGGAGTGGCACTCGGGGCTAACGCCTTCCTCGTGTGTAAAAGTTGGATGCGGGGAGGGAGAGCGCAACGAAGCGACTTAAGTAACGGGGCCGGTGAAGTCCGCTCCCCGCACACACGCATCCTCGGGTTTCACTCCTCGGACCTGCCCTCGGCTCCCGAACGAGGAACCCAAGGGCCCCTCGCCTCAGCCCGGCACGAGGAGAAGCCCCTGCTGTGGCCACACGGGCCAGGCTCACAGGCGTTCCCGCCCGGGGACGCCGCGCAGCCCGGGCGCCGCTGAGCCAGGTGGACCCACCGCCGGGCGCTGGGCGAGCCAATCTGTCACCCACGCCGCGCGAGGGGTGCCGTCCTCGCGCCTCTCACGGAGGGCGAAACGGTCTCGGAGCCCCAGTGCATCCCGTCCCGCCCGCCGGTCCGGTCCGGTCGCCCTCACCTCCCGGCGTGGCCGCCAGCGCCGCCGCTCGCAGGCGGCGTCCCCACAGCAGCAGAGTCCGCAGCTCACGCGCCATGTCTGTCCCAACCAGGTGCCCCGGGCAGCTGCGCGCGCCGGGACCGAGGCCTTCCTCCGGCGCCGCGTGATGACGTCACGGGCTGCGCGTGGCGGGGGAGGGGGGGCGCAGTGCGTTGCGTGCGCCAGCGGGGGCCGGGGATTCCGAGGGCCGCGCGAGACCGACCAGGCCTCGGGGCGGGACCTCCGTGACCTTGCGTCGTGTTGTCAAGGGCGACGGGCCGAGCGCGGCATCCCTGACTTGGGGCAGGTGCTGCCCCAGCCCGGAGGGTCTGAAAGGACGGCCCCGGGGCAGAAACAGTTAACAAGTGCCCGGCGATTTACAAAGTCCACATTTTTAGGCGGGCCACCTTCCTAAAAGAAGCGAAAGGGAGAATTTTAGGCTTGATTTGTCTACATCAAGACATGAACTCAGGAGCCAAGCCCCACCGGCAAAACTGGGCTATTTTTTCGTTCCATTTCTCTCACCCTGTGGAGGTAAGAGTCCTGTTGGGGATTCAGGCCAACTCCCTTTCTCACAGAGTTCCAAGTCCCGGCGGCTCCCCAAATGATTTCAGGCACACCAAAGACTCACTGCCAGGAATATATGTATATATTTTTTCGTGGAAGAGTAAAATTGCCTTTCTCCTTAAAACAAGCAAACAAACAAAAAAGTACTCACTGCCACAGTCAAGCAGCAAAGTACAGCATCCTCCCCGGGGCTTGGACCTAGTTGGGTCATCAGAGGGGATGTGTCAGGGAGCACTTCCAGGTGGAAGGCTTCAAGGATAACCCTCAGGTTCCAGACTTAAGCAATTGAGAAGGTATAAGAGGTGGAGAGATTTGAATGGGAGACCAGGAAGTTCTACCTAACTCCTCCCCACCCCTATACCTCACTCTCAATCAGGGTCCTCAAGTGGTTTCCCTTCACACTAATCAGCAATTCCAGACCCCTCCAGACCCTGCATAATCTGTCTCCTGTCTCCCTCCCTCCCTCACCACACTGCAGACTACCAAGCCAGTCCCAGGCTCAGCCATTCCCAAGATATCACTCAGCTACTCTGCAAGGGAATTAAGGGGTCTCAGCCTCACATTTCATTAGTTGTTCACTCCACTCAGGAAATCATCTTTTTTTATATAAATAAAAAATATTTTTATTGATTTCAGAGAGAAAGGGTGAGGGATAGAAACATCAATGATGAGAGAGAATCATTGATTGGTTGCCTCCTGCACGCCCCCTACTGGAGATCAAGCCCACTGCCCAGCCCAGGCATGTGTCCTGACCAGGAATCTGTGACCTCCTAGTTCATAGGTGGACTCCACCACTGCACTACACTGGGTGGAAATCATCTTTTGTAAGCCTTGATGCATTGGTCTATAGCAGTGGTCCGCAAAACTCGCCTTGCGAGCCACATGCGGCTTGCGAGCCGAGGTTTGCCACTCTGTTGACTGAGTTTGCGCACTGTCTTATACTACCCTTTACCTCTTTGCACACAATATGCCACAGTTGCCTAATCCTCACAGCTTCCAACTACACGGTAACATTTAGTCTAGTTCAGTGATCGGCAAAGTCATTAGTCAACAGAGTGGCAAACTATGGCTCGGGAGCCACATGTGGCTCGCGAGCCACGGTTTGCCAACCACTGGTCTATAGGGACAGTAGATCTAGCTTGGGGAGCCCTTTTGTTTCAGGAAAGGGAGTGGTATTTGGCAAAGGGAAGAAGGAAGCCAAGGCTTCAGATCAGGATGAGGGGACTTTGTCCGGACAGGCAGGACCTAGGTTCTGTGGAGGCAAACCTACCAGGTTCCAGACACACCGGGGCCTTCTGTCCTCTCCTGCCCTGTGGCCTTAAAAAACACACCCTCAGCTACAGATCTTTGTCATATGGTGTCCTCTAGTAGCCCGGGGAAGTGTGGTTTTTTAAGGTAACCAGGAATCCAAGTCAAGTCTTTTTTAAAAAATATATATATATATACTTTATTTTTTTACAGAGAGGAAGAGAGAGGGATAGAGAGTTAGAAACATCGATGAGAGAGAATCATTGATCAGCTGCCTCCTGCACACCCCCTACTGGGGATGTGCCCGCAACCAAGGAACATGCCCTTGCCCGGAATCGAACCCGGGACCTTTCAGTCCACAGGCCGACGCTCTATCCACTGAGCCAAACCGGTTTTGGCCCAAGTCAAGTCTTGATGGAGTTATCAGAGGGGAGTCTTCAGGTGGGCAGATTTCAGCCCCTGTGCACACAAGGAAAATGGAAGAAGGGAAAAATAATTAGATGCAGATATACTTGAATTGATGGAGACTGGAGCCTGGCTTAGGGAGAGCAGGAGAGAAGCAGGAGAGGAGAGGGGAGAAAGGGGAAGAGCCCCGCACCCCTGCTGGGTCTCCTCACCACCACTGTGGCCACTATAAGGCAGCTCATCCCTTCTCTAAAAGTCACTGCCTTCGTCCTAGCTGGTTTGATCAGTGGTTAGAGTGTTGGCCCACAGAATGAAAGCTTTTGAAGATTCAATTTCAGTCAAGGACTCAATCCCTGGCCCCCAGTCATGGCGCATGTAGGAGGTAACCAATTGATGTGTCTTTTTCACATGTTTCTGTCTTTCCCCTTCCTTCCACTCTCTAAAAAAAAATCAATGGAAAAAAAATCCTTAGGTGAGAATTAACAAACAAAAATTAAACACACACACACACACAAAAGTCACTATTTTACCCCCCTTGGGTGAGCTGAGGGTCATATAAAAAATGTCAGCTGCATTATTCACAAGAGCCAGAAGGTAGAAGCAAACCAAGTGTCCATCGTTGGTTGAGTGGATAAACAAAACATGGTCTATACATACAATATAATATTATTCAGACTTGGGAAAACTGAGACATGCTTCAACATGAATGAACCATGAGAACGTTATGATCAGTGAAATAAGCCAGTCACAAAAACACAATACCATAGGGTTCTATAATATTAACATGAAGTAGGTAGTCATCAAATTCAGAAAGACAGACAGTAGAAAGGTGGGGCTGGGGAAGGGGGAAAGGGTATATAGTGTTTAATGTGGACAAAGTTTCAATTTTGCAAGATGAAGAGAGTTCTGGAGAGAATGGTGGTGATGGTTGCATAACAATATGAATGTACTTAATACCACTAAACTGTATATTTAAGAAGTGATTAAGATGGCACATTTTATGCTATGTATATTTTACCACAATTTAAAGACAATGCCCACTGCAAAGAAAAAACAAATTCAACTGCCTCCCTTTTTCTTTTTTCTTTTTTCTTTTTTTTAAAAAATATTTTATTGATTTTTTACAGAGACGAAGGGAGAGGGATAGAGAGCTAGAAACATTGATAAGAGAGAAACATCGACCAGCTGCCTCCTGCAGGATGTGCCTGCAACCAGTGTACATGCCCTTGACCGGAATCAAACCTGGAACCTTTCAGTCCGCAGACCGACACTCCATCCACTGAGCCAAATTGGTTTTGGCCTGCCTCCTTTTTTCATTTATATGTTCAAGGCGCCAATTCCTGGACAAACTTCTCCCCTCAGGAGGCAATGTACTGTGTTTTCCTAGAGGAGGAAAAGGCTCCAAGCTGAAGAATATTTCTTGGCCTGGAAAGGTCCCAGAATTGATGTGATTCCCCATCCTCCCAATTTCATGGATCCTCTAAAGTTGTTTACTTTTTTAAATTTTTTTATTTTTTTAATCAATCTTTATTGTTCATATTATTACAAAGGTTCCTCATTTCTTCCCCCCTCCACCAGGTTCCCACCCCACCCTCCATCCCCTTCCCCTCCCCCATTGTCCTCATCCATAGGTGCACAGTTTATGTTCAGTCTCTTCCTCCCTCCCTTTCCCCGATAGTAAATCCCTTTTCAGATAGTAAATCAGTTACTTAGCATTTTCTCATATCAATAATACCTCCACATGCCCAAGGATACACACAAAAGACATTTCCAAATAGGTCAACCAACCTCATCCAGGTACTTTTTTTAAAAAATTGATTTCAGAGAGAAGAAGGGAGAGTGCGATAGAACCATCAATGATGAGAGTGAATCATTGATCGTTTGCCTCCTGCATGCTCCCTACTGGGGATCAGTGCCTCAACCTGGAATAGAACCATGGCCTCTTGGTTCAGGGATCGATACTCAACCACTGAGCCACACAGGTTGGGCAGGCAGATTACTTTTTGAAGCTAAAAAGTAGGCATGTTAAGAAGAGAAACTCCCCAACAGTCCTGCAGGTGCTGGGTGTTGTCTGAAAGCTATTGTACAATTGTCTTAGTGCTCAGGCCTCAGGAGCAAGGGTTTCCCCCGCAGATGCAGCCCTGGTCTGGGAGAAGGGCAGCTGCAGCTTGGAGGCCTCTGGCCACAGCTTCAGAGGTAGTAACTGTCTCTAGATTTCTGAGGCATCAACACCTTCAAATCCAGAGAAGCAACTAATGGCAAAGTGGCACCTGCAAGGTTTTGCACGTTCCTTAAAGTCCTTTTTATCCTCTGTAGGACCTTGACGCCAACTCAGCATAGATGGAATTCAGAAACCTAGTATTTTGTTGGTTCGCAGTGGAACCTCCGTTCTTAAACTGAATTCATTAGGGAAGGCTGTTTGAGAAGCGATTTGTTCAAAAACTGAATCATTTTCCACCCAGGAAATCATGTAAATTGAATTCATTTGTTCCAGACACACAAATAATTCCGTTTTAACCTTTACTATATACAGTACATGTCTCGTGTGCTGTTTAATCTATAAACACTTCCCGGCCACCCCCTCCTAGCCTCACAGGAATCCCTTCCGGCACCCGTTCCAGGATGTGGTTCAGTCAGTCAGTATGCAGCATCTTCACTTTTTTACATGCTGTCCCTGGCTAACTGCTTTTCTCCGAGTTTTTCTACCTCTTCAATTGCCTGTGATCATTGTTTCTTTTACACCCTTAGCGACATTAGCACACATTTTAAAAAATGTTTTTATTGATTTTTTTTTTTTTTTGAGAAAGGAAGAGAGAAAGAAAGAGAAAGATTGATCAG